TTGTTTTTGCATGTAATAATTGTTAAAAAAAAAAAATTACTAGTTTATTTTATTAATTAAATTGTAACTTATTTTGCACGATATCATTCATCTGTCCGTATATATGTATTAGTGGTGGACGATAGCGTACGATCGTTACTTGAAAAAATAAACCAGATCATCGTAGAGCAAATTCACATCAGTTGGAGAAGAAATTTTTTTTTTTGCAATCTGATCTCATTGCTTCAAAAGGAGAGTAGTACTCGGTTTTTGAGAGACAGATCGTTAAATTCGCGAGAACATAGTCTACGATTTGATGTATCTCAGAAAGAGTACGAAAATTTCTTTGAAGACAAAGATCTATGTATGTAAATATTCCTTGCCGTCACATATATGTACACCGTTATTACGTAATTGTAAGAAACACTTTCCAATAATATGTGTGTTTCTCTTGATTCTTGTAATATTCACGATCGATATAATTATATTACGACTCTGTTGCATAAATGAGTTTTTCAAGAAAATTTTTTTTCTCTCCAAATACATTCTGAAAAACAATATTTGATATACACGAACTTGCAGTTGTAAAACTTACCATTTAGAGGTGCGGTGGTCCCAACTAAGCATAATGGGCAGGAGTATTGAGTCGAGCGACGAAAAAATGATGTTTATGTGCAAAGTAAGGAAAAAATAAAAATTAAAAAAAAAATAAATAAAAAATAAGAAAAAAAATAGGAAACATTGTGCAAAAAATTAGCGAGTAAATAAAGGCAAGAGAAATTCAAACCCATCGTTCTACTTCGAATTGCGTATAGGCTTATCAATAAGTAGATTTAGAATTTTTATATTGAAATGAAGATTTAACAAAGTGGAAAAGTATAGGTGAAGATAAGAAAGGAAAATAAAACAACTAGACGTCAACTGCAAATAATAAGATATAGATGTGAGGTGTAATAAAGTAAAAAAAAAACAAAAAAAGTGCTTCGTGATAAACTAAAACAAATTGAAATTGTGAAAAGATGATAAGTGTGCGATACCGAGGGGTGTAACCCGAAAGTGTTTGAATTTTTTTAAGAAAACGAAAACAAATATTAATTATTAATTGAGCGAACGAGCTCGGGTGTGTTTGATTTTTCCCATCGTCGGGCGGAAAAATGCGATGACAAGGAAGAAACAAGGAAATAAAGGATGGCCCGAGCGCTCGATTGATTGAATGACAGCTCGGGCTTATTCTCCGCGTTTCGTTTTTTCTTCTTTTCTTTCTCTAGAGCTCTCCCGCGCGAAGGAGTTTTCTTGCGAATTTTTCGAGATGTAGCAGCGAGGGCGAGCAAGAAGCGAATTTCTTCTTCCCTCGGACGAGCAATTGTGAAGTTGATCTCAATGTATTAACAAAGAGGCGCCTTCACCCCGGAATCACGGATATACATTGGCCAAATTTTGAAAAGTGGCTTCTGTAGGACGTAGAAATAACTTTAAACGATCAAAATACATGTCTATTCGTCATTTCTCTATTATTATACTAGAGAGCATTTATCAACGTTGAGTCAAGTGATTCGTGATTCAGAGGTGAGAGCGTTTCTTTGCAAGATGAAAAAAAAATAAAAAAATAATAATACCAATAATAATGTGAAGTGAATCGGCGCAATGGAATCGACGAACAGGCAAATATATATATATATAGATGAACAAATTTGAAAAATGAATTTCTTCGTTTCTCTCGATGTTGAAGCGTGTAGCTCGAGTCTTGTATTTAGCAATTGGTTTCAATGAATGTTGTAATGATAGACACTTGCCAAGTATAAGCTCCAGTTAATTATGATACTATTATGCCTGTCGTCGATGGTTCGGAAAATCATGGAATACTATATTTAAGAATATAATATATATAAATCTATCTCAGCTCTCTGCAAGATCGGCATTGAAATTTGATGCTTCCGATCATTTTTTCTTTCCTCAAATTTCCCTCGTTCTCGTCCCATATTTTCTTCTTTCCCCATAAATCGCGTTAACCTGTTATCAACACACATAAATCCAGCCGTAAGTACATAGCAATTCCTTATAGTTCACATGTTGTGAGTCATGCTGAATTTATTAGCAAATAAAAATGTACGTATGNGTTTCCCCCCCCCCCCCAACGGTAGCTTCGAGATCGGGATCGCTCGAGGGGGGGGCCTTTGGAGCACTTCCGGTTTTAACGATGATACCTGTGTGTATATTAGGGACACGCGTGAGATGGGATCGACAATATACCGTAAACCCTAAGTGATGTACACTCTCTAATCGAAGTATATCGTAAGTAAGTGGGTGACGCGCGAGTGTGCCTTTTTTTTCCCTTTTCCGGTACGCCCGACCGGTTGTCGTTGTCATATATATACGCGCCGCGTTTTGATTGTATTTAAAAGATGGGTCACGAGCAATACACGAATTAATCTCGGTGAGGTCGGGTGCAAGGTCTGCAGGTGAAGCCAAGTGCATATATATATATTTATAATTACTTTGCGACTCGGATGATGCGTTCGCTTGGATAAACTGGCTATACGATGTAACGCTACTGCGAATTTATAACAAAAAAAAAAAAAAAATGTCTAATGAAATATGTTTTCGTTTTTGGAAAAGTGCAAGTATGAGAAGACGAAACAAAGGCTTGTGATCGAGTATAATAATCGAGATGGATAAAGGAAGAAAGAATGAACGAGACGGAAAATTTCGTTTTTTCTTGCTTTTTGTGTCTCCTTTGCCTTTTTTTTATTCATACAATTTTATAGCGAGTGACACATTTCGCTGGTCGATTCAACGACGCTTGCAATGATTTCATTTATTTTATTCATTTTAATTCTCATCCTCGTGAATCCAGTCTCGAGTGCTTCTTTCGCTTCTCCCATGAAATTTTTAACCATACACACATTTACACAAAGATAACGACGTTGTTGTGTTGCAAGAATATTTTTCATTCGTATGGCGCCTTCTCAAACAAATTTAATAATATTAAAGAAGAAAAGGAAGAGAGAGTATAAATTAATAAAGAATTTTGCTTTTTTACCCCAAGTGTTTATTTATTTCACATTCTTTTCTTGAAACTCAAATTGAATAAAGCGTGGCTATCCGAGGTGGCAAAGGTCGAGTCACGTTTTACAAAATATTTTTATACATTTATTTGCATGTATGAAAATCACGCCAAGACTGGATTTAAAAGCGTATTTACGATTGTAATGAATACGAATTAAAAGAAAAAAAAAAAAAAAATACAGCGTACTTAATCATTGTATTAATTATTTAAAATTGACAAACAAAATTATTGTATTTATAAAAAAAATAAATTTTGTTTATCGGATAAACGTACGCTGTGGATGAAATTTTTGGCGAATGGAAGCGAGAGACCGCAAGCGGAAAGAGGGGAAAAAAAAAATATGAAAAAGTTGCCTTAGCTTTTGTACAAGGGAATAGCGAGAGAGAGAGAAAGATTGCGCGACAGACATGTCTCACCATTACGTACTTTTTGCTTTGTCCGATCGCATCGATGGCACTAGTATCCCTCTTTTTTTATTTGCACGCAAAAATATTTGGTTCTCGAGGGGCGAATCGAGCGCACCGGCGGAGAAGAACACGCGGAAAGTTTCCCCGCCGATTTGTGCCTAATAAAATAAGAAGGGAAGGGCTCCGACGTGTTCTCGCCCGATTCGCGCCTGTGCGTCTGAAACCATGGATCCATTGGATTTTTCTATTTAATCGTCAAGGCAGGGAATACGAGAGAGTCGAGGTGCTCGCGGCGAGAGTATAATCACGTCCTTCCGAATCGTTATTCTTGGGAAAAAAAAGAAAAAAAAAAAAAAATGAAAAAAAAAATACAAAAGGAAAAAGTAAAACGCATAATAAAAGTAGTAGAGTCGATATTAACTGTAACTGTAATCATGATAATGGAAGTAATTTTTAAGCAAGTCGTAACGATGGAGAAAAAAATGATAATAGGCGAGGGGACGAATGGGGCAAAAATCAATTCGTGCGCGAAAGGTGGGTGGTAAAAGGGTGGACATGGGGTTTCGTCGCGTGGCGCCTCGGTTTTTTTTACATTACACATTAACGAGTAAAACAACACAAACACGTACCGTATAACACTGGAAAAATAATTTGCTCGACGGCAGCTGTCACGTTGTTTTTTGTCACTTTATCGATTTGTGGTATCCAGTCTCTTCTCAAACGCATGAAAAATAAAATACTTTTGTCGTATGTATGTCGTACATTTTTGAATTGCCGTGGAAAGCCTCGAGTAAAGTATTTTTCACGAAACACAGAAACAAAAGTGAAAGAAATATTAAACGAGCTGTAGTGATTGGATGTGTAGTGTGCGAATGAGCAATGATATT